CAGATTATCATCAAAATGAAAACACAAAATTTAAAATGGTCTCATAGAACTTCGAGGCCTTTAGAAGGGGATGGCAGCCCTCATTTTGAGAAAATATCATTCCCTGTATTATAAATGAATGAACTGGACCACACAAAGCTTATTTGCTTCACTACTGAAGTGCATTTAAATTAGCTTCTAGTGCAGCCATACACTCACTACAACCCATAAACCACTTCAGGTGAAATCAAAGATACCACAGATGAAAAGGTATGTCCTTATTTTTCATATAAATAGGAAAAATGTTAATTAGAAACTGTTGAGTTTAGAGATGTTCAAATGTGAAAAACAACAAAACCAAAAATCCCCTTTGACTCTTCACGGATGGGAAATCCCAGAATACAGGGAGTTGCTGACAACCTGGTGCTCTGACTTCCAGTCTTGGGCTGGTTGGTGCCCCTGCTCCTTTACAGCTGTGGGACCCCGGGCAAATCAGTTCACCTCACTGGGCTTCAGTATATTTATCTGATATTAACAATGCCTACTTCTCACTACATTGCTGAGAGAATTAAACACGATTCTCTGTTACAGTATTTAACATGTGCCTAGCACTTATTAGCTCTCTTTTTGCTGCCATTACTATAAATCTGGCAAGAGCAGAGTCATGAATTTAAATATTAAGTGGTTTCTTTAATCTAAATGAGTTAGCCTAGTCTCAGTTGCCAAACCTTTAGACATTGTTTGAAATAAGTGGTAACAACTTTGCCTCCTTGATTCCTTAGCTCTCTAGCAATAAAATGAAATTATCTTTTAAGATGGAGTCAAAGCATCTTCTTCTTGAACTGAAGAATCACTCAGAGCCCTAAGGAGTGGATGACTCAGACACAATGGGTGATAGTTTGCATACTGCTTTGTATGACATTTGCATGCTACCAGTTCATTTTTGCTTGAAGCAAAAATCCGCCCACCATCTGCTTCTTTCCTAGTCCCTTATGATCCCCCTAGGTGTTGAGTTTACTGCCTCTGCCTGGGAAAAATAAAACAATCGGTGTGCAATAAGGACTTATCCCATGTGCCTCCACGGCGGGTTATCTCGGCTGAGGAAAGAGGGGCGTCCGTCCCAAGCTGTGGACCAGTTGCCTGGTATCACTGCGGACATCCTACACTGAGGGTGGTTGTTGGCTCAAACACCAGTAAGCCACAAAGAGCATCAAGTTCCTAACTACAACCCCAGGCACAAATGTGCCTGATGGAAAGTCACATGCTCCACGGCTCGCTAAGTGGCAAAATAGTTCCTGACCACCATTAGCTTCCAAATCCAACAAGTACAAAGCTTCTCTTTTCCTGATTTTGAGCAATCATGGGGTAGGGAACCTAGAACAAAGATTTGCTTTCACTCTCAAAACTGTCAAGGTTTAAGATAAACACACGGTAGGCAATATCTGGCGATAAAGAAGAAAAATTAGCACTTAATTAATCAGGGCCCTGTTACCAGAATCCTGTCAGCTTTAATCATTTGATTAAATCGAACCATCTACATAGGTCCAATCAAAGTTCATTTAATTTGTTTCTTGGGAATAAGTGAATATTTTTGCAAACTCAAATATCTATAATATGTTATTAGTATAAACTAAGCAATGATCCTATATAAGATGATATGAAATATCGTTCATATGAGAGCTGAAAACAGCATCCAAATGAGTAAGTGTCCTCTAAGTTATCCTTTGCATACAAACACCAACCCAGATTGCTCTTAGGTGTCTAGATGGCACAAAGCCGAATGTGAACGGCAAACCCGACCAAATCAGCCATAAAACCCCAAATTCATATCTGAATACTGGGGCCAGAACACTAAAATGTAATTAAGCCTATTAGGTTTTAGAGACATTATTTTATCATTGGATAATATTTTTTTGGTGCTTTACAGTTTTAATAAGGATAAAAATGCTTGTTGGGCTTTTCAAATTATTGAGAACAACATGTAAAACATCATACTTTTATGGACACTGAGGAAGATGGGAACCTCAGTTATACTAAAATTTCAAAAACTGACTCTAAGAAAGATAAAATAACAAAAAGATCAAGCTTTATAGCACTACTTTACTTTCTAAAAATGTCTCTCCTCAGAGGATAATTGTTAGAATGCCAGCCATTTTAGAGATTTAGTCCAATGTCTACCGTTATTTTTGTAAATGAGGAAATCAAGATCTGGCCTAGAAATTGGCACTTAAAAAGGAGGGGCAAGAGCCCAGAAGATGAATATTGACAGATGATGGGACTGGCAGATGCTGGACAGGGGCCTGACGCTTCCAGGAAGCAGGATCAGAAGGCCTGGCTGGGTGCGTGGCTCTGGTAAGTTGCTTAGAGCTTTGAAAGATGTTCCAAAATGGAAAAACAAAACAAAACAAAACAAAACAAAACAAAACAAAAAGACGTTGAGGAGGAGTTGCTTCTATGAAAAGAATAACCCAACATAAAAGATATTCCGGGCACAGAAGCTTGGTAATCTTCTGAGTCTGGGGTTATCTGGTGAGAGGCGCTTCCCTGAGATGAAGGGTGGGCCTAAGCTTTGAAAGATGTTCCAAAATGGAAAAACAAAAGAAAACAAAAGAAAACAAAACAAAACAAAAAGACGTTGAGGAGGAGTTGCTTCTATGAAAAGAATAACCCAACATAAAAGATATTCCGGGCACAGAAGCTTGGTAATCTTCTGAGTCTGGGGTTATCTGGTGAGAGGCGCTTCCCTGAGATGAAGGGTGGGCCTGTCCCTAGGGAGCAAGGAGCTCGGTCACTGCCACGGTCACTGGAAGGGCTAAGAAAGCAAACTCATTTCAGAGGACGTGGAACTAGAAACAAAGACAAAAGGCGAACATGAGATGAGCACAGCAGCTGAATCACCGATTTCTGTTCTTACTCAGAACAGAAAGGAATCATCTTCTTATCTACTCATCTGTCTCCCAATGAGCTCAAGATCCAGAACAGAACAAGAGGCCCAGAGGCCAGCTCCTCAGTCTGTGTCTTAAAGGCCCCTGAAGACTGAGAATTTCTATTTTTAGATGCTCAAACCCTGGAGACAGTGAAAGAAAGAAGGAGTAGCGTATGTGCTGGTTACTCTCTGCTTGCCCCCGCCCCAGAGAAGAGGTCTTGGCCAGTGTCTGTGCCCTGGCTGGCTGACCTTTGTGACCTGTATTACCTGGGCTACATGTCACCCGGCTTCCAGCTGGGCTTGTTCAATGGGAAGCCTTGGCGAGAGACAGGGGAATGAGGAGAGAGAGAAGTCAGAGTATTTCTTCCTGTTCTCTCCTGTAGTTCCTGCCCAGAGACCCTCGCCGGTGGCCCCGCTCTCCTGGCTCTGCTGTAGCATTTGCTCCCTGGTCCCTGCAGGCCTGAAGTGGTAAACGCCTTCATGGCCCCACCGCTCCAAGCCGATTCCCTGTCACTTCTCTTTCAGCTGACGCATCCGATTGGAGTCTGACTCTTGCCAGGAAGGACCCTGATACAACACTAGGGAATAGAAGCCGTGGGGTAAATGTGGCATCTTATACACATTTCCATTTGCTTGGCAGAATTTTATATTGAAACTGAGATGTCCTATAGAGTAGAATGGAAATCCACACTCTAAAAACAAACAGACCTTCAAAAACATCAAACTTCAAACCCCAAATATTGCTGCTTTGGTAGTTTTCTCTCCTTTAGTCTCCAAGATCTTTAGTGGCAAGACTGGGAAAGGATGCTAAACTAATGGGAGTGGAGACTCCCTCGGGCTCTCCTCCTTTGTCAATGAAAGTATAGTCGCGGCAGCATTACCACGTTTCAGTCAACAACAGACCACCTACACAACAATGGTTATAACAACGGGATTATACCGTATAGCTTCGGTGTGTAATCGGCTATACCACTTAAGTGTGTGTGAGTATAGTCTATGATGTTCACACAATGAAATCACTTAATGACGCATTTCTTTCTCAGAATGTATCCCTGTTGTTAAGCAACACGCGACTGTAAAAACTAAGGTGAACTCCTTGATTGCCTGAGGAAGTTGGTCTTCCAGGCCACAGAGGCACCAGCCGCAACCTGAAGGAGGCAGGGCAGGGCAGGGGAGCGGCAGGGGGAGGGGAGGAAGGCCAGAGAAAGAGGAAGGAGACAGAGGAATGAGAACATCCGAAGACCAGACCGCAGCCTGTAGAGGAATTCACTCATCCTCTGAGAACATCGTGGTTAGAGTCCAGTACACTCTGATTGCTTTCAGAAGAGTCAGTCTTTAGCAAAAAGTCCTGCTATAAAGCCAACATCTTTTGTTAATAAGGGGCAGAGAAGTGTGTAATACATATTAGATTATAATATTTTATGTATGTATTAGAATATAATACATATTTTCACAAAGTCTACAGTTTAAAAATTACTCACACCTAAAGTGAGGACGCTGCAGTTATTTAAAATAAAATTAAAACACACGTTTATCTTATTCCTGGTAATGCTGGATAGAGTAAGGATAAACCAGAATCTCTTGGTCAAATTCCTTTCAGTTGAACTCGGAAGAGAGGAGAAGGCAGTCTCTAAGGGCATGCACACAAAAGGAGAAACTCCCGGGATTCTGGGAGGGGACAATGCAAAGTCACTGAGCAGAAGTGGAACCAGCTGGCGTGTCCTCCTGAGTCTCCTTCAAACACCCACTTCATTCCTTTCCTCCCTCCCTGTCATTCTCAGATGTGATGCCTCTGCTAAGCTTTCGTTAAAAATCAGGTTCTGAAGTCAAAGAACAACTGGATACTACTGGTTTAGACTAATCACAGGTATATATGCAAACGGCTACTGTGGACAAGAAGACTGCTTTTAACTTTTCATACCAGCCTGACAATTCTTTTTAAATGATTTTTTATTCAGATGTAGAAGACTCATCTTTCTCAATATCTAATCCCAAGCAGAATTATTTTATTTCTAAGCATTTATTTTTTTAAAAAAAGATAAAAATTATCAGAAGGCATGAGAATTAGTAAGAACCAGGAGGCCAATTCGCTTACCTGCTATCCCCAGCATTTGCCACATACAGCTTCCCCAAAAGGCAAATCACAATGAGGGCTGTGCAGCCACCAGATATGTTGTATGAACTCCTCTCTCGCTCTATCTGCAGGTCCTGGGGAAGAAAACAGAGTTAGTGCTGGATTGTACAGGAACTCATATCGAAGCCTTTCTTAGCCTCGCTCCCTTGACACTGCCCTAGGGTGTGAGTGCGCTTCAGAGAAAGGACAAGACAATCTTCTGTACTTGCTTTTCTACCGTCTAATGAGCATTTCTGGAGAGGACACTGTTATAAATCTGTCACCTGCTAGACATTCTGCAGACAAGAGACAGGAAACAAGGGATGGCGAACATATAATCAGGCAAAAATAAGAAGAATAAAACCAACTATTCAAAAAATATCATAGCTTATGGAAAATGTAGTCTTTGTATGGACTGCCTGCGCTGTCATGTGGAAAATACAACAGAGAGGCTGATAATGCCAACTGCTTGCACCTGATCAATGTTTTTTAGTCCCAAAGTCTCCAGTAAATAGTTTCTTTTACAACTAGATGAGCGGTGACTTGAAGTACAGTGTCCTCTATTCAATGCAGGCAGGAGTCAACCCATCTTACTGATCAAAGACATAAGCTCCTGAACTCTGGTCTGACTTCCTCTTCCCACTAATTCACAACAGTGACACCTGCGCACAGCAACGGCCAACTTTCACCGAGCACGTCTCGATGGCAGGCATGACACTAAGCACTTACAGAATCTCATCTCGTCCTCACAACCAAATTATTAACCTCACTGTTCCGATGCAGAGAAGTGGGGGTAACTTCCATGATTCACGAATGAAAAGCTCGCGATGTAAATAAATGTACA